ATTTGTTGTAGTTTTTTGTTTTGTATTTATGGCCTCATGTAGGCTAATTTCCAGTAGATTCCACAAGAATGAAAGAATGTGTGTATATTTTTAAACTGGGAACCATTTTGATGGGGACTTACAGAAAAATCAATGGATGAATCCTGTACAGTTTAAACACAAAAGCTCTTGTCCAAGTAGAATTCTTCAAAGGACTGGAGATTGAACCGTGAAGTTGAGAAACTACTGGAAATGTTTAAATGCTTAGGTTAAAATTACATCTAAGATAAAAATCTGATTTCCTGTTTCTAAGTCAAAAAGCTTACAGTAAGGACCCCAAAGGTTCCTGGAATAATAAACAGTGCTTCTAAAACAGCAAGTGGGTGAGGTAAGTGTGGCTGAGTTGAAAGTACAGATTAATTTCCTCCACACCATTCATGTGTTTCAAAATTAAGCGGGAAAATTTCCAACAGAGAGACATATTTAGAGTCTTATTGAATCCAAAAGAATTTTAAGCACTGCAATAGTTTGCAATGTTTTCTTTTAAAGTTTTTCCACTGCCAAGACAATTATCTAGTTTCCTCAGAGTGCATTAGTTTTGCTGATCTAGTGTTGAGAGCCTCTAAACAGTAAAGCATGGATGAGCAGCAGCTTTTGCAACGTGTGAAAAGCAAGTAGATGGGCGAAAGGAGCAGGAGACCCTCCCCAGCCCCATTTGCCCTACTTAGTCCTTTCTACTTAGCAAATCTCATCCCTTCTCTTATTTTCTGAAGGTCCTGGGGCTTAATTAATTGTTCAGGGTACTCCTTTCTCATAGTACCCTGAACCTGGCTGGTATAGATCTTGTAGGTATGCCATAATCAAAGGTTGCTCATTTTTGACTGCTTCTAGGAATCTGTTGAATGCAGAAGTTATATGTTTTCAGTGTAGTATTTATTCAAAAATTGTTTATTGAGTATATCTCTGCCTTATGCCAGGCTCTGTGAACACAAAAGTGTCTAAGACACAGCTCTCCAGTTGCTCACAGTTTAGGGAGACAGAAGGACAGTTCTAGCTCAGTGGTGAAGCACTTACCTAGCATGTGTGAAGCTCTGGGTTTGATGCCCAGCCAAACAAAAACAAAACGGAAACATAGGGACTGTTATATTTTGTGTTACTTTCTTAGCTATAGGGAGCACGTCAGAGGGGCGCACAATTGAACTCTTCCTAGAGAAGGTGTCAAGTACATCTTGAAAGGTGAGTAGCTGTCACCTAGTTGAGTAAGAACAGTGTGGATTAGTGGAGAAAGGAAGAAAAAGGGCAAAGAATTTCTGGGCAGAGGAACCAGCAAATGTGAAAATGTATAAAAAAGAGAGGGCAAGGAATTCACAATAACTCAGGGTGACTGGAGAGGAGTACCTACGGGAGACCGATGAGGGTGGAAAGGGACCCAGGGACTGGATCATGAAGGGCCTTGGATGTCACACTAAAATGTTAGGGCTTTATCCTAACAGGACAAAGGAGGAGCCAATGAAGTATTTTAGCCAGGTGAATCATTAGCTTACTTGTGATTTAGAGAGATCACCTAGAATTTTGGAGGTTACTGTAGTCACATAGGCCAGAAATTGTAGATCCAAAAACAGTTCGGGGTGGGGAGCAAAACTTGTGTCAAGAATTTACCGGCTATGAACAGTGAAGAGAAGTCTGGCGTTGGTTGATCCCTGGGTTTCTAAACAGTAGCATTAAGGGAGAGAGTTCTATTCCCCAAGATCAGAAATACAGTTGGAATGGGAATGCTGAGTGTGGGAACTGAGCAAATCCCTGTTGGATATGCTGAGTTCAAAGAATCCAGTCTAGAACTAAGATTTCTCTAGTAAGGAGATTGTTATGCAAAAGGGAAGTTATCTCTGTGGGCCAAAAAATCCCACTATGCTGGCCAATGCAGTACTGGATTACTAGTTCTGATGAATCTCACAGAGCCCAAGGACAGGGAGCAGAGAGTTGGCCACAGGACATAAAACAAATTGTATAACTGTGCGGTTTCTTCATTTCGAGAAAGTGTATGCTGTTACCTTTTCTGCCTATTTTAGAGATTGCTTTACAGATTACTTTCATTCGTATTCCTAAAATGGTGTAGGTATTGTAAAGAGCAGTACAGATGTAAAGTCCAGTATTGTGTACTCTAGACTTTCTAGGATGTGGACCATCTCTGGGGTGCTCCCTGTGTGGCTGGCTAGTCTTGTGCACCTATGTACACTTGCATGGGATGCCTTGGGAGTTTTGTTTATTATGTTCTTTCTTGGCTTCTACACATGCTGAGAACTTAGTCTGGTAGTGCTGAGATTTCTAACAGCATAGAAAGTGCCTGGAGGGACAGGCGTATTAAAATCACAAATTCATTACTTTCTCAAGATGAGGACGTACAAAGTTCCAGCAGCCTTATGAGTTGCCTCCAGAAATTATAAGGCAAAAATTAATTCCGCCTCAAAAATTTCTCTCCCTCCCCTTCCGCTATTTCCATTTCTATTACCATTGCCAAAAATCAAAAGACAGCACCGGCATTTTCTTCTGCAGAGTTCTTCACCTTCTCTATAGAGATAAACAAGTACTAAAGGCTTGAGGTCTATTTACCATCTTTTGGTCTAGTTTCTAGATTCTGTTTAGGCCTTCTGACTCACTGACATCATGCCGTCTCTGTGGATTTGTAGATTCAGGTTATGTGGACATAACTGTCTGTTTTCATGGCTGGCATAATGAGAATGATTTAAACTAGTAATACATGGCACCTACTTCTCACTGACATTGGGAAGTTAATGAGATGGTGCCTGTGGATCAATTTGTGTTCTTCATCTTCATCTAAAAGCATTTGTTATGTCAGGTTGAGCCAGGCTTGGGTGAAGGACTGTGCTGTATGATGCTCATTTCCTTGTTCGTTGTGTGTTTTGAAATCAAGTTTCGGAGCTATTTGCTTCATTCCTTCTCTTAGGGCTTTATTTCCAAATGATGATTTCAGCTGACCTTAACATTTTAGTTTGAGCTCTTCTATTTCCACGATAATCTCTTTTTCCACAACTCAAATCAGATATCATTTAGAGTGAGCAAAGAGGGATTTTAAATTTCATTTTATTATGTGTTTGTTAATGCATTACCATTATACATAATAACAGTGGAGTTCATTGTGACATATTCACCATGCACATGATTTTCTCTAGTTCATTCCCTAGTACCACCTTTTCCCCTCCACTCCTCACTTTCCCATTACCTGCCTCTACTTTATTGGTCTCCCTTCTAGTTAGTTTTTAAATTGGTGCATTATAATTATACATAAAGTGGTGTTCATATGTGCACATAGCACAATTTGGTCAATTTTAAAAACAAAGTAACCGATTCTTGCTGTGATTAAAGAAACCTGTAAATAGTGGACCTCAGAAGGAGAAAGGCCTAATATTGATAAAGGATATAATATAAAAGTACAGAAGTTAGCTGAGGATCGAGTGGCCTCTAAACCATAGGAGGTGTGCAGCAATAATTATGTACTAATTTCTTTCTGTTGCAGTCCAACAGAAATATGAGCGTTCTCAAAGAAGATATCTATAATTCCTTGGAAACAATCCACAGCAGCTCTCTTTCTTTCTTTTTTTTCCTCTTGCCCCCACCCCACCCTTTCTCTCTCTTTTTTTCCTTTTTCCAGGAGAACCAGGCTGAGAGGACAGCTGGAATCACCTAAAGGGAGGTGAAGGTTGAAGCTTTCTAGTGACTGAGATCACTAAGGAGATGCAAGACAAGACCAAGGATACAACCTTGAGAGTTACACCTGTGCCATGGAACCTGCCTCTCAATTTACTCTGCAAATGTTTGCAATGTAAATATTTTGTCTCCTTAAATTGAAATACTTGGAAATTATGGTTCATGAAACCCACCACCAAAATTGTTATGATCAGAAAGTTTAAGAAACAGTAATTTCTTATATCAATTGAAGACTTAAAAAAACGTTTTTTGTTCTTTTCTCTAATAGCTAATTACTACACATGCAGAGCAGTCTAAATCTGCACTTTATTGTTTTGTTTCAGACAAAGTGAAATTCCAGATGGAAACGAGAGAGGGCCTCTGTTTTGGTGATGTAGCATTTGTTGACATTCCAAGAGCACAAACACATTTGAGAAACTAGCTACTATTAGAAAAAAGGATTTATGATCAACATCGCTAGGCACTAAAATAAAAACAATGGGTATGTAAAGGATAATTGCTGGAAGTTAGATTCTGTTAAGATGTAAATATTGGACATACTTAGAGAATACATATCCATAACAAAATGTTGTAAACACTTCACTACTCTGGATATAGGTAATGAGAATGCCAACCTACAAGCTTGGGACTATCTATGTTTCTACCTAATACCCGCCTTTCTATCTATCTGTCTACTCTCTGAGAGCACGGTCATCTACGTATTGACTTTAATACCCCTTCACAGTGTTTTGAATAGGGCAGTGTACACAATGAATGTCCAACACACACATTTTTTTTTTTTTGTACCAGGGATTGAACCTAGAGGCAGTTAACTGAGTCATATCCCCAGCCCTTTTTATTTTTTCTTTTGAGAGAGGGTATCATTAAATTGCTTTGACCTTGTAATCTTCCTGCCTCAGCCTCCCGAGTTGCTGGGACTACAGGCCTGTGCTACCATGCCTGGCTCAATACACATTTTTAATTGAAATAATGTAATTTGCTGTACCATAATTTACTCTTCAATGACTGGCACAAAGTATAAGGGCACAGTTTTATTGCAAATAATTTTTTTTCTTCCTTGAGATTTTACTGGTCCCCTGAGTGTAAGATAGGAGGCAATGGAAGAAACCCAGGAATGCTGATATCCACAAGGCTTGCTAAGTGTAATGCACAGAAGTCTTCATGTGAGGACACACCACAGTCTGTGGAACTCACACAATGACAGCTGATGCTTGAGCTGTTGATGACAGCCCAGCTTTTGGTGTTTCCTCTTTTGCAAAAACAAGGAAAGGAAAGGAGCCATTCAAAATTATTGGTATGAGCAACCGGAGTTTTTTGGGGTCTTTTATTGAATTATGTATGCAATATTTGCAATGAAAATACTTTAAATCCAATGACAAATTTGAAAAATGGATTAGATGAAAACATCAGAAAATCAAAACTCACAGGCATTTACTGCTGTTTACTTAACAGAAGGCCCACAATTATAACAAGAACATCAGAGAACATAGTATACGAGCTTATTTTAATTTTACATCAATATGTGATAAATTAACATAAATCAATGTCAAAAAAATGAATATAGAAAAAATTTTAAAAAAATGTATGTTTGGTTTTACATCATATTCAGAATTCCATTATTTGTTATTATAATTAAGAATGATTATTACTTCATTCCATACAAAATAGTACTTGTTTGACTTATCTATTTGATGAAGAGAACTAACTTTAAGGTTAGAAAATTTTAATTTCTTATATAATAAGCACATGTTCACTTAAATATTCACAGTAGCATTGCATTGCGAGTCAGTAAAAGTACATAATGTATCACAGACTGTTGACTTACAAGGGAAAGCATTAACAGTGCCTACCTGTTGTTTGAAAAGGAATAAAAATGTATTTGTCCTAGATTAATGCATGAACGTTCTCCACATTCAAACTGAACAGTCATTAGATTTTAGCTGGGAAAACTCTTAAGTGCATTTTCAAATATGTGGAGAAAGTTTAACAAATATTTGAACTATGGTTAAATGTTAGTAATACTGCTACCTTAATATCTGATAATCAAATCTTTTGTATAATTACAGAAAAGATGAGTTTTCTTAAAATATAGTTTTCTTCCCCACTTTCCCTTCCTTGTACTCTCCTAATCACAGAAAGTGTGTGATGAGAAATAAGAGTCTAGAAAATGGTTAACTTGGTGGTTCTAGTAATTTTTTTTCTCTCTGTATCAGAATGGCTACAGTTTCTTGTATTGCTTCTTTCAACTGTTCAGAAATCAGTCATTATAGTGGATTTTTAAAAAGGAAATTAGATCAGTGAGGAAGATCATTTTTCAGTCTAGCATTTCAATATCAAAGGAATCTACTGTCTATGGTCAGGGTGAGTGAACTTAATAAGTTTCAGGTGGAATATTCTTGGTGAAGGACTAGTTCGGAAGTATCTAAAAAGGTCTGTTGATAATAGCAGCAATGCATTTTCACCAAACCCTCAAATTTTCCAAATTTCTTTTAAAATTAAATGTTAGTCAAAGTTTTAAACATAAAGGCAGTAATAGGATGAATACAACATGACAGAGGGTGAAAGTCTAAAGAACATGAGATCTAGAGCCACTTATTGACCAGACAATCTTGGACAAGTCATTTGAGCCTTCTACACTTATTTAGATTGTTCAATCTCTAAACTTCAGGTGGAACCAACACTTCATGAGGATGTTTTAGAAATTAAATACAATATAGGCATGATCTTTACCAAGTAGAATATAAATGTTCTATGTAAATAAACAAGTGAAAAACTTGAAGTGGTATTTGTTATTCTGATCACTACATAATTACCATCTCTGGGGTATTTCAAAACCATTCTTAAAACATTTTGCATATTACATAGAAATTCTACAAAATACACTGTTTTGCTTTCCCTTGTGTGTGTGTGCATGTGTATATATATACACACATATATATACACACACACACATATATATATATATATATATAAACTTTTAAACATAAATGATACCATTTATGGTGTAGTTCCCAAAATGGTCTATACAAGGCCCTTAAAATTAAAAAAAAAGAGGATATTTTTATTTGGTTTATAGTCACACAATTTTATGGCATTTAAGAAAAACACTTTGACAATTTGATGATGAAACTAAATACTTAACCTCCCCCACCCCAAACCCAGCATTAAGAGATCACACCATAGAAACAATTTACCAGAAGAGATACTACTATGGTTTGTTTAGTACAGTCAGTTCACAAATGGTTGAAAGATAGAGTATTAACACAATATGCCAGAATCACCACTTTGCAAATTTCACCAACTTTAAAAAAAACAAGGAAATCACTTCTCACAAAGATCACTAACACTAACACATAAGACACTCAATTACACCTAAAGTGAAAATTCAGATTCACAAAACTCAAAATTATTAGATTAAATGTTTTACTTAGTTTCTCTACTAGTCAAAATATACATTTCCTATTATGACAGAGGCCTTTAAAAATTGCCCCCTTTTCTGAATGGAAGGGATATAAGACTAAACTTCTGGACAAATAATCTCAGTATGACAAAATATTTCTGTATTATTCAAATGGATTGCTAGCATTTTAATAATTTCTCTAGTGTCCAAATTCTAGCATTCTTCTAACCTAACCTCTTTCTACCATAAAACCAGCATCCAGAATAAATCCTGTTTGTCAGTGGGTACAGTTACCTGTTAACTTTGTTGTGCAAAAGCTATTACCCTTCTTTTTTTTAAACTGTCCGCTAATGCCAAGCAAAAGTGTTTGGGTTATCCCTGAATTTTATTTCTCACTCCTGAGCAAAATTAGTTATAATCTGACTCTATTAGGCCTCCTTTGTATCCAGATAAATTCGCAAAGTTTTATTTTATACTACAGTCATTGTTTCTGGGACCAAAAGGGGATTAACTTTTAAGTGTGACAAAGATGTACCTTACAATCAGCTATAGTTCATTGGTGAGCACAATATTTTGATTCTCATATGCTAAATGTTTATTAAACTACAAAAATTTGAAGAGTAACTTGAACAGATATTCTGTTTAGGTAACTAACTCTGCATTCCAAGATAAAATAAGAAATCATAAGTAAGCTATGGTCAGAATGAAAATAAGATTTACCTTTTTTAATGTCTTGTTGAGGTCAATTAGTAAAAGTAGAAACATGAACATTTGGATTTGCAATCTGTTTAGTCACGTAAGTAGAGAGATGTGGCATCTTAGTGACGGGGGCGGGGGACAACATGTACATGTATGCATAAATTATAACCATCTTAAAGTGTCATAGAATTTTTGAAGATAAAAAGAAACAGAGATTACTAAATTTAAATTCTTCACTTAACAGGCAAAGAATTGTGGGCTCTGAGAAGTTAAAGGGACTTTCTTGGGGGTAATTAAGAGTCACTGGCAGAGCCATTTACCTGCTTAAAAGCTCTCTTGTGTAAAAAGAATCAAGAGATCCCTATTACTCTTTCTTCCACCTTAAAATTTTGAGTGTGCAATAAAGCTCTGAACCATGTTAGCATTTCAAATACAATTTGAAAATCACCTTAACATCAAATTATTTTGAACATATATTTAACAAATATCCTCCCCACTTTCTAGCTATTAATCTGTTTCCCTTCACCAGTGATTTTTTTTTCTTTACCTTTTCATGTTCCCATTATAGATGAGTGAAAATTCTTAGAGGATAAAGAATCCTATTTCCTCTTCTCACACCCAATGGAGGAATGATCAGCTTGATACTTTCAAGGCTTAAATCTTATTTCAATTTATTCTTTTCTTCAGAAAGGCAAAAGACAGCATTCTTCAAAGCATTTTTCAAGAAATGTGCATAACAAGGTTTGGAGGCTGTAAAGGGCTTTGGAGATTACTGAACCAGCACACCTGGCAAACTGAAGCCTAGCAATGGTTACTGTCTTACCTAGGGTCCCACAGGTAGGACGTGAGCAAGAATTCTGTCCCCCATTATCTAGGCTGGTGCTATTTCTACTCTGTATCTGGTGTGACAGGTTTCTCATTTGATACTATTCTGTCCTTTTACTGTAAAAGTTCAGGTTTTGTCTTTATTTTAAGCTGCAGCTTATGATAATGACTCAGATACGATATATACTATAATGCTTAAAGTTGTACCACTGGTGATTTATGAAAGCAATTTTTGTGTCTATTTTTGTAAGACCTACCAATCCTTTCTAAAATATCTGAATGTCTAGAACTCCTATCACACCGTTCATCAGTTTGTTTCAATCGTCCTCATTGCTGTTATAGATTATTTTCTTGCTAACCAGGCTGTGATCATCAGTTATGGGGATTAAGTTGGCTGCCATGGACTGGCTGTTTCCTGGGACAGTATCTCTACTACCTGGGCAAACATAGAAAAAAAAATAAAGTGGGGGCTCTATTTTAGTCACAAATCATCATGATTAAAGGTTCACATAGCTCACATTTGAGATAGTCATCATTCCTTTACTTCTCTTTTTCCTATTGTGATCTGGGCTTCAATTTTGATCACAAAGAAATTACCAGCAGATTGTGAAAAATTCATTGTAGACATTACCTGGATTGTACCTCCTATCCATCTGTTTTGTTGCTAGTAGGTGTATGATTGTTTAGTTAATGATTCTTCTATATTAATGAAATTCATCACCTGCAGTTCCTTCTATAGGGAACCCAAAAGTGTTTTTTAAAATATTGGCTTTGTCACTGAAATATTTTTATGGAAACTAAAATTCCATAAGTGTTCTTATCATAATTTAGCATTGTGATGCATTTAAGTAGCAGGAGAGTGGTTATTTATGTGCTTGTTCAGATGTCTTTTGAAAATAAAATATGGAAATGAAAAAAAACTCTTCCGTATACTAGATTCTATATACTAAATGTTCACAGTTTGACTTTCCATAAGGCTTATAAAATAATATACAAATAGCTACCATTCTGCTGAAATGTCACAGTAAATACATTGATAATGGCACAGAAGTGAAATGTCCCCAAATGGGAAACGATCCTCATGACCTCCTAAATCTCTTTTCCAACTAAAATCTTGTGTTTTTTTTTCTTTTAGTTGAAAAAGAGCTCCATTTCTAAAAGAATATAAAAATAGAAATGAGTCAAGGAATCTTTTACACTTATAATTTTGAAGGAAAAGCTATAAACATCAGATGAAATATATAAGTATATATATATATATATAATGTATATATATATGTATAGCTTTTTGGAATGTGCTTTGTCTCACTACATCAAACATCCCATGAAAATAAAATTGAATTAATACATAATATATGAACTGTTTCAAAGTATTAATTAAATGTTAAAGTTTTAGTTGATATATGACAAACATATAGTAAGTACTAATATATTTCCATGAAGTTAAGATCAACTAAAACCTACCCGTACGACTAATTTTTAAATCTATAATTTTGAATTAGAAAATAAGAGAATGCTTAATTGAGCAAGGCACATTTCTTTTGGGCAAGTCTGTCTTTAATATTATTTATCTGGGCACAGTGTAGACTTCACTTATTATATGTAAATGGGCTGCTCTATGTATGGGAGCCTTTGGTACAAAGCACATCTTCGCAAAATCAAACTTCACATGAACTCAGAACACAGAACACAACACATGTATCTCATGATTAAATACAGTCCGGTAATTAATTAAAAACAAAACAAAACAGTCATAGTTAGCTTGTTAGAACCAAACGTTTAGATTTTCTTCATCTGTAACACTGATTATAGTTTCCAGATGATGAGTTTTCATCAAAATGTCAAAAGGCTGAAATGGTACCTTATTTAACATTCTTCTTTGTATCTTGACCAGTATCTTTTATGCTGCGCATAATATGAAGAGAATCCTCCAGCTCTGAGCCATTTTCTTCATGTAAAGCATATGTTAGACACGTACTACTTAATGTCAACTGAAATAAAAATATGTGCTGGCAGACAGATCACCACCCTCAGTGGTTTAACTGCCACTGCATTCTTGATCCAGGCAATTCAAAACTGAGTATTCCACTGGTTAGTGCTGCTGTACAGTTCTTTATGTGGGGTCTTCAGGAATCTGCTGAATAAACAAAAACCAATAACCCAATCAATAAATGGGCCGAGGACCTGAACAGACACTTCTCAGAAGATGATGGACAATCAATCAACAAATATATGAAAAAATGTTCATCATTGCTAGCAATTAGAGAAATGCCAATCAAAACCACAATAAAATTTCATCTCACTCCAGTCAGAATGGCAGCGATTATGCATACAAACAACAATAAGTGTTGGCGAGGATGTGGGGAAAAAGGTACACTCATACGCTGCTGGTGGGACTCTAAATTGGTGCAGCCAATATGGAAAGCAGTTCGGAGATTTCTTGGAAAACTGGGAATGGAACCACCATTTGACCGAGCTATCCCTCTCCTCAATCTATACCCAAAGGACTTAAAAATAGCACACTGTAGGGACACAGCCACATCAATGTTCATAGCAGCACCATTCACAATAGCTAAACTGTGGAACCAACCTAGATGCCTGTCAGTAGATGAATGGTTAAAAAAATGTAGCATACATACACAATGGAATATTACTCAGCAATAAAAGAGAATAAAATCATGGCACTTGCAGGTAAATGGATGGAGTTAGAGAAGATAATGCTAAGGGAAGTTAGCCAATCCCCAAAAAACAAATGCCGAATGTTTTCTCTGATATAAGGAGGCTGATTCATAGTGAAGTAGGGAGGGGGAGTGTGGGAGGAATAGAGGAACTCTAGATAGGGCAGAGGGGTGGGAGGGGAAGGGAGGGGCATGGGGTTAGAAATGATGGTGGAATGTGATGTACATTATTATCCAAAGTACATGTATGAAGACATGAATTGGTGTAAATATACTTTGTGTACAACCAGAGATATGAAAAATTGTGCTCTATGTGTGTAATAATAATTGTAATGCATTCTGCTGTCATATGTAAATAAGAAAATCAATAAAAAAAGAAAAGTTCAATCAATTTAATTTCCTAAAGGTATTAACCACATGTCAAATACTTTTAAGTTAGAAAAAATTTCAAATTACCTGAAATTATACATTCTTTTTCATTAATAATGATGCCCAAATTTGATCCAGCCTTTTGTGATAACTGGCTTTCTGAACATAAAAATGTATCCTCCTTCTTAGAACCATCTGAGAGGTTCTGAGTGTCCACTGATTTTTATAAAAATACATGTATTAATCTTCTAAATGTATTTCTGAGGATATGCTTCTTTTCTGATCATCCTACTATGGTTACCTAAGATGAGAACACTTCTAAATGGATAGAAATCACATCCTCACATAGTTATCATGGAGAGGATAAAAAAGAGGCAGAGAGAAGGAGGGAGGGAGACAGACAGCCAGTCTCAGAATAAGTCCTGTACTGATGAGAGCCACGTTCTAGAGCCACAGGATGCTAACCTATAGTTAGTTTCTTTTTATTACAAATAATTTTCAAATATACTGATACTTTAAAATATGACCTCTGCACAGGTATGGGCCACTTTAAAGTATCATGAACTAGAACAACATCAGGTCTGTGGAGAACTAAAAAATAAGGGTGACAGGTTTGGTGCTCCTCCCACAAACTAAAAAAAAAAATTATAGACAGTAATTTTAAAAAATATCAGAACATGACAGTGTTGTTTACTGCTATATCTAGAATCCAGAGTAGTCTTTGGCACACAATACATGCTTTAGATATAAAATGGATGAATAAATCCCTAATGCACAAGAGGTCCTCAGTGAATATATGTTGAATGAATAGAGGATATATTAAAATCATACTTATACACTCGAGAAAATTACCAGTTATATAATATAAAGGATACTTACAAAGACAAAAATAGAATGCTAAACCCAGGCTTCAATATGTGAATATTATCTACTGTAGTAGACAGAGAAGACCATTTCCCATGTATACTCCTGGTTTTAGCAGATGTCTCCAAACCACATACCCAAAGATGATGATCTGTAATGTGAGTGTGCTTTTAATGGAAATTAAATACTACACACCTACTATGTGCTGGACAATCACCTACTAAAGCTTTCCTCATACGTCTGGATTAACTATGAGAGTCTGAAAATTACAATGGCTTAATAGTTATTAAAGACTACTAAGAAGAAAATAAAAGTACTATGAATGATCTGGCATTGATGTTACTGCAATAGTTCTGGTAAGTTACACTTCACCTGCTGGTGTACCATCCCTTTTAATAAGGAATTGGGCCTTTCTTTTCTAGCCTTCTACCTGCCTCTCAATGATCTTAATATTATTAAATAAGTCTGGTATATTATGGCATTCTAATAGATTATAGGTGTGGAGGGAGTTGTACTTCATCAGAAACCAAAAAATATAAGTAATGTCTTAATACTAATCATGATGTTTATCCTAGGGGCTAAGAAGTGGGTTGAAAGGAAAATAATGAACATCTGAGTACATTATCAAAATCAAGGGCAGAGGATATAGCTCAGTTGGTAGAGTGCTTGCCTTGAACGTGCAAGGCTCTGGGTTCAATCTTCAGTGCTACCAAAAAAAAAAATTCACTCCATTAAAAAAAAAGAGAGAGAGAAAAGTGATATAGTAGAAAATGGTGATCTATAATCAAATATATTTGATCAGATAAATGTTTTAGCATATATAGCAAGAAAAGAGTATAAGAACAAATTTCAATAATTATCAGTTGTGAAGAAGTTAATTAATTCTCCACCAAGACCTAAATAAAAGAGACTCAGCTTCATTAACTATTGGCCTCACTAATTTGTATTTTACGAGGAAATTGTTGAAGTCAGTCTGAAACACGTAGATTTATGGGAAATTTGTTTTCATGTGTCTATACTGCAACAACTATTAAATTTCTTAGAATTAGCTGTACACCAATAAGTTCTAAAAATTCTACTAACTAAACAGTGAGTAAACACAAAGATGAGTAAGATTTCTTGGTCATTGCATACCATTTTCTGATTGGGGTCTAGAAAATTATGTACTTTGGCGGGCAAAATAGATTTAAACTCACTTAGTCATTAAAGTTAATAATATGCTAAGATGTGAACTTGTCAAAAGACTGGGAAGTCGTGTGTTATGCTTAGATACGAGGTGTCCCCCCTCATTGTGTGTGAAACAATGAAAGAAAGTTAAGAGGTGAATAAAAGAAAGTTAAGAGATGAATGAAAGAAAGTTAAGAGATGAATGAAAGAAAGTTAAGAGGTGAATGAAAGAAATTTAAGAGATGAATGACTGGGTTATGAGAACCTTAACCCAATCAGTGAAATAATCCCGCTGGGAATTAACTGGATGGTAACTATAGCCAGGTAAGGTGTGGCTGTAGGAAGTGGGTCACTGAGCGTGTGCCTCTGGGGCACACATTTTGAAGTGGAGAATTTCTCTGTTTCCTAATTCCCATGTCCAGAATGGCTTTCCTCAGCTGTGCCCTTTCTGTCATGATATTCTGCCTCACCTTGGGTCCAGAGATATGGAGGTGCCATCTGTGGACTGAGACCTCTGAAACTGTGAGCCCCCAGATAAACTTTTTCCTCCTTTAATTGTTCTTGTCAGGCCTTTTGGTCATGTCAGGGAAAAGGCTAACTACAACACCATGGGAAAATGAGCTTTAAAGTATAATCAATACTACTCTGAGCAATAATTAGGTTTAGTAATAGGTGTCATTCACAGTTACATGGTAAAATAAATTTCCCTTTTGAAATCAGTTAAATGTTTGCAGGCAAAAGGTCCACAGAACATAAACATAAAGTAAAACAGTTCTTACTTGGAGAAATTACTTCTATGAATCTTGCCTATCCAGTAATTTTTTTTTCCCCTTTGGAAATCTTATTTAGCATGCTTTTCATCATGATTTTTTATAGAGATTGTGTACTAGTGAATATCTGATTTTTATTGTTTGATAGTCTTACATGAAATAACTAAAAATGCAATGACAGTTGAGGTTGTCTCTTTACTATCCAGTGAAGTCCATGTTGAATTAAATAATAAAAATAAATAATATCACAAATCCCTCATCCAAAACCAGAAAAAAATAAGAAATTAAAGTACTAATTTTAATTCTCTATTTTGTGTCATAAAAAAAGCCCTAATCATTTATCCTCAGAATTCCTATGTGGGCTTAACTGATGAACTGATAAAAAGAGAAAAAAAATCCTAACTTCTATTGGACTCCATATAAACTCAAGCATATCAATTTGCAGTTTGTTGACACATTTGGTAAGGAAACGTGCTACTTGGATGTGCAGAGGCAATAGCCAGGTCCTTCTTTGGTCTGTTTTGCCTAAGAAATCCGGAAAGCAGAAATTCAGAAGGGGTGTGCAGAAACTTGCTCTCTACTCATATTAGGAGAATCTTCCTTTCCTGCTGCAGAGGAAAGTACATCTGTCACAATATTACCTAAGATCATGATGCTATCTGCAGTATTCAAACCAATGCTTTAGTTTCCATCATTCTATATTATACATTTCACTCTTACAGAGCTTCCAGGAATCCCCCAACACCAACATATACAACTAGGTTGCTGAAGCAGTCGAAGTTTTGTCATTATTGAAGTCACTCTAAGAATCTGCACTTATTTTTCATGGGTGAAATGTCCCCCTCTCCTTTCATGTAAAACACAACTGACTTTTATGGTTTAGATTTGAGGTGTCCCCCCAAAGCTCACGTTTTAGACAATGCAAAAAGTTTAGAGGAGAAATGGTGGGGTTAAGAGAGCCTCCACCCAAACAGTGCCTTAATCCACTGACATGGATTAACTGAGTGGTAACAGTAGGTAGGTAGGATATGGCCGGAGGAGATAGGTCACGGGTATATAGCTTTAGGGTGTATGTTTGGTCCCTGGTCAGTGGAGCTCTTTCTACTGCCTGACTGCCATGTCTGTCCTAAGCTGCCTTCTTCTGTCACGCCCTTCTGCCATGCTGTTCTTCCTCACCTTTGGCAATGCAGTCAGCCATCTAGGGACTGACAGCTCTGAAACTGAGAAAATGAACTTTCCTCCTCTGATGGTTCTTGTCAGGTCTTTTGGTCACAGCAACAAGAATGCTG